TTATATATATTGTTTATATACTTAACATTTTAATATTTTGTTCACATAATTAATATAGTAAACATATGTATTATTTATATCTATTAAAAAATATTGATTAATTCAAATTGATGGATCAAGTTCAGATCAAACTAAAATATTTTTGTTCCAAAAATTTTTTAACCAAAGATTGGCCCGAACATAATTGAGTCGGGTCTACTCCAATTCTCTGATATGTGTTGGATAATAATCACTTCTAAGTTTTAATTATGAATGGTGTATATTTTGTATAGTTTTGTTAGAAAATTAGTGTTATGTACAATATTTTTTTAATATTAGAATAAAGTTTTTTATTCATTAAAAAGCGTGGATCTATGGAGCTGAAAAATTTTTTAGAAGAAGTAAAATTAATTCAAAAATGGAAATTAAAGGAAAGTTGAAGCACATTTTTCTTGTAAATCTAAAAGGAAACGCGGCATCACGTCGCGGCGCAGTGCTTTGAAGTTAGCGTGCTGCCAAAATTTCCAATAGCCGGACCCCACCAATTACATGCCAACACGTGTCCCGCACCTTCCCAACTCCAAGAAAATGGAAGCATGCAGCTGATCTCATCTCTCTAGTCTCAATCAATCCACCATCTCTGCCTTCTTCGCCGGCAGCATAATCCAGGAGAAGAGAAAACGTAACCCTCCCTTTAAGAAATTAAATAAAAGAAGAAAAAAAGAAAAAGAGAATATGTTCTGCTTTAAACCCATTTTCTTTATTCTCCATTATTTATTTATACAAATAATATTAACAAAAAATTTATTCCATCACCACATATACGATAATGTCATATGTAAATTAATACGCTTTCTATTTTGTATATTATCTTTAAGCAGACTATCAATTGCGTCTTCTTTTTTCCGGTTTTCTTGCTTTTTCTTATGTTTGCTTGCAAGTTAAGTTCAGGTTGGTGTCGTGAAAAAAAGGCTTGAACCATTTAGGCCTCACAATTTTTTATTTTAAAAAATCTAGTTCATTATTTAAATTTGACATTAGATTAATCTTTTCATATACACCAACACATTTTATTACCTCCTTATATCCACCCCTTTTTTTTAAATTAAAAAACAAAAAGCTGGTTGCAACTCTAAACAAATCTAGATGAGAAAAGGAAGTGATCAAACTGTAATTAGCTTCAAAGGAAATTAAGTTTCTGCTCCAATATCTATTTCTTCTCAGCATAATTTACATTTCTCGGATTACCAAGGGAAAATTTTCCAAAAATCCATAAAAATTAAATCCCAGGAAAAAAAAAAAAAAAAAAAAAAAAAAAAAAAAAAGTAAAAAGCAAAACAGCTCACTCTTGTTTTTTTCTCTGTGTCCTTCTCTGCAAATAGATGTTAATTAGGTAATCAAGAGAAAATAAGCCAGGATCACAGGTTGTGTTGTTGTTGAGTTTGTCTGTTTTCTTCTTGTGTTGGCATTTGTTGATTTTGATTATAACCAATCACCTCCTTTGGTTTTTCTCCATTCTCCATTTTCTCTGCTTCATTCTTCTCCATTTTCCCATCTTTGTCAGCAAAGGAAGAAGCTTTGCTCGACACAGGAGTAGCCAAGAACGTGGGCTTCTCGTTGCCGGCCATTATTACCAGGATCTTCTCCTCATAAACCTTGTCCATTGCCTTGTCACAGCACTCTCCTTGTTTTTCACCTTCGCTATCTATGTCTTGACCTTCAGCGTTGCTGTTGTCCGAGCGAGAAGAGAGTCTCCAGTAAGAGCAAGCCAAGATGAGGAGAGCAAAAGCAATCAGACCCAGCATCGCCGCCAGACCGCCGAACAGATAGGGCACCGGAGAGTGCCATGGAGATTTCTCTTGTGGGTTTGCCTCCGGTGAAAATGCGGCCTTCGCCGCCATTGTTGCTTCTGCTGCTGCTGACTTGTAAGAGACGCTGAGTGTCCTCATTTTTTTTTTCTTGTGGGGGAGAGTAGTTAGAAGGTAGATGGAAAGGAAGGTTTTGAATGAGAAACACAGGAGCTGAACTGCGGTATTTATAGGTGGGAGAAGGAAGAAGAAGCTTTTTGCTTTTTATTTTGCTCACGGATTCTGCCCTCTCTTCTTTTTTTTGTTTATTTTGAAAAATGTGTGAGTTTATTTTTAATAAGTTCAATAAATTTTTTTTTAAAAAAAGTTCAAGAAATAATATGGGTATCGAACCTTAAATAAAATTAAATAATTAAAAAATAGGAAGGTGCCTTAAACTTGGATCCTCCGTATCCAGATAGTGACCCGATGGGCCCATGAGAATTGGACCAATTGCTAGTGTGGGCCCGACAGCGACAGCCAATCGCAGCCCTATTACATGGCAAGGGTAACTCTTGTCTTTTTACCCCTTCCTATTCTTTTAGTTTAGTCCTTAATTAATTAAGTCAATTACTATAATGCCCTTGTTCATTAGCGAATACTTTTTATTCCAGATATAACCCTCATTATTCCAATTAACTATTTTCTGAGTGCAAAAGCCAATGAAAGGTATTATTGTCTTTGCACTGAGAAAGAGTGGATTGGATTTGTGTATGTCGTTACTGGAGCACAATTAATCCACTCGATTAATAATGCAATTTAAGAAAACGAAGGGTAACAGTAAAACAGATTATAATCTTTACTTTTTCTTTTTTCTTAAATTAGATATATGAAATGGAATAATGAGCTACGTATTATATTCCAAATTAAACTCCATTAAGGAGTCTAGAAGGATATATATATATACACACACACACACACACACACACGTATATTTGCAATTGAATTAACTATTTAATCGAACTAATTTACACGTATTAATATGAAAAACTATTTTCTGATTTGTTCAGTGCTTTAAGTATATTATGACGTCAATAGTTAAGCATTATACATAATATCATAGTGTACATATCCTAATAACTTATTTATAAATGCTACTTTTAATTGCTTGTTACACCTTATTTTTTAAAATTAGTAATTTGAGTTTAAAAGTAAAAAAAATTTGTTTTTTGAACTTTTTACAAAAAGCTTTTTCAGTAAAAAGTACTTATTGATTGAATGATATACATATAATAATTATACAGAGAAAGAGATGAAAAAATAATTAACCTACTAAGTATTAGTAGGTATAAAAAAAATGTGTATATATACATATGGATGATGGCACAATCATAAAGTTAAGATAAAAGATAATAATTAATGTAGGTAAAGTGGCAACAATATAAATTACATCAGAATGATGGTTTTGGTGATTTGATCTCATGGTGTCTCATCTTTTGAATTAATCTATATGTATATATTTACCATTTTCAATATCCCATTCCCTTTTCCTAATTATCCTCACTTTCAACTTAATTACTTTTCATATTTTAATTAATAATTTCTATTGGATATAAAGTTTCTTCCTATTTATAACATAACTATCATATACATAATATATTTACATCAACGAAAACCAATATGGAGACAAGTATATATGTATCTATATACATACATATATATATATATATATGATTCGATCTTGTTAAACTTTTCTAATAGATCATTATTTATTATTATTTTTTAATATGTATATAATGTTTCCCGAGGATCTTATCTAGTTCTACGTATATTACATAAATCTTATATATATATATATATATATATATAATATAATATTTTTACAGACTAATTAATCTTCTGTGTAATATGTTTAATTTTTTATAAATTAAGAATAGAATTATCTAATAGATTAATTGATATTTATGCATGAAATAATCAAGCTAACCATAATATTGAGCTTATAGATTATACTATATATTATATATATTTACTAAATTCTCAAAAATGAAATTGGATTTGCCCATCCAAGCCAATTAATTACGTCATCTCTCTCCCTCTAATCAATTACTTATGCATGTCCCAAGTTATCAATCAATAAATTATTACTCTAAGAATTCAAGTAAAAGAGATGATATAATAAATATATTTTTTTGTAATTAGCTATAATAAATTAAATTTCAACACAAGATTTAATAATTTGAGAAAACTAATTACAATTTATTTTTTATTAAAATTAATGTTAAGTAGAACTTAATAATTATGAGTTTGATTTAATAACTAATAACTAATACGATATATTTTCTGTGCATGTATGTATAGTCTAAATCAATCAATCAAAAGAAATTGTAGCTTTACACTCACAATGATCATGGAGGATTGTACATTGTAGTAGCTACTCACAGTGCATTATTATTATCATTATTTTTATTCATATTATTATTATTATTATTTGTGTTTACTATTTTTTGGTGGGTGATTGATTTCGTGTGAGCTTTCCAGAAGTAACCAAACAACATCTATATATATATATATATATATATATACAGTAGGGAAAAATATCTTCAATTTGGTTCGTGGGGTATTTTCAAAATCCACATCAATGTACCGGCCGCAGGAAGGTAATGATTATATATATATATATATATAATGAAGTCTGGTGTACGGTATATGTAATTAATATGGATGGTATAGGTGTCTTTAGTTAGGGTCAACTCTTGACCAAGAATGTTGACCTAATTTTCATGCATTAAATGAACGACGTTAGTAAGGTCACAGGAAACATAGGTTAACTCGTGAAGTGTGGTTAGGCCGGCCATGCAAGTTCACAAGCTCAAAAGTAATTAGCATTCGTCAATTACAACCATATTTAATCTATCGATTGAGTTAAGTAGCTCAGTTTTCAAAATTAATTATTTCATAATAGATAATTACTAAATGCTCCTCTATGTATATATACAAGCACATATAGATAATGGTGATTTGCAGATGTAGGTTCATAATCCAGATTATGATATGGCAATTAGGGTAGGAGAAGGAGAATAGTGTTATTTACTTGTGGCCCCTTATGCCACATAAAAGATGTTGGGTTATATCATTTGATGGTTTAGGATTGGGCATATGTGGAAAACTCATAATTATATTTAGGATAATTAAAATATATATATATATATATGTAGTGAGGTAGTGGTTATCCGGCATAAAATTGGAAGGAGTGAGTGGAGTCAAATGCTCAATTGATAATCACAGAGGTAATTATAATAATTAATTAAATTAAATAAACAAAAAAATGAGGTCATCAAATATTTTTGTGTGGGCCAGCAAGACATAAATCTATTTTAAATTATATAATTTTATTATTTATATATTACATACAAATATTAAGATTCTTTTTTTTTTTAATTCAGAAATTAATTTTTTATTATTAATTGATGAAAGGGCAAGAGCCAAGAGGTGGTACGGTTAGGGAGGGGTCACCGGAAAAGGAAAATGTGGGTCCAATATTTAATCATGTGAAAAGTTGTTTTCCATTTGCAAATAAGGGAGGAGGGGTAGGGAAGGGTCCCACACGTCATGATGACGACGATGATCATCTCCCACTTATGAAAGATGAAGAAGGTACACTTTGCAAGGACTCTGGTGTCTCCATTTGATTTTATATTCTAAAATATAATATATCAACCATGGCGGGTTACTTTTGTAATTTCACTGACATTGCTCGCTATTAATGCTTTTGCTTAACACCATTTCAGTATTTTCAATTTTTTTTTTTTTTTTTAAAAAAGAAATATTGTTTTAATTTCATAGATTAAATGGTCTCAATATATAAATAATGAAGTAATATTTTTTACTAGCTTAAAATTATTTTTGGAATAATTAATTATAATTAGTAGACGTTTTTCTGAGTCGTGTTAGATTTAGAGTTTAATATTTACATCTAAACTCCAAAATATTGTATTTATGTATAAATAATTAATTGATTTGAATTGTGTAAACTGTTTTTCTCTAATGGCAAAGCATTTTAAGGCGGCCTTACTTTTGTGGGTTCAAAATTGATAAATACACTGACTGATCCGAATGTGATGTTTATATGTATAGTTGATTCTTATGCCCATGAATCATGTTGCTTGATTTCATCTTGTTTTTTTTTTTTTTTTTTTTATAAAAATAATAATAATAAAAATACATATTCGATATTCCACTGGATTATATCAATTAGTTTCGTACAATATATATATAGCTATATTATATTTATACTAATTAATCTCATACTTAATCCCAATTTCTCTCTTAATTTTTTTATTGAACAGTACTCAAGTACTTATTTGTGTCTATCTTAAGTGCTTTTTAATTAATTTTCTTTTTTCCCATCATTGGATACTCTTTTTCTTCTAGCCTAAAGCCACTTGGAGTTGAAATTCTCCTCTAAATTTTATTCCAATTGATTTAACAATTAAATATTAGATATTTCTGCTTTCAAATAGTACATCATCTGATCATCAACTCCGCTTTTGTACTTTGCCCCTCTTCCCATTTTTAATTATAATTAATCACTCATCTCTTTTTCTTAATAATTAGCAAACCAAGGTTTGGACAATATTGGCATTTTGAGAGAGTTATTCTTTATTTCTATCTTGTACTAAGGAATGAATACTTTTTAGAGCTGCATTAATGTTTTTTACTAAATATTTAGGGAAGAATATGTAACGATTTCGGAAATTCAAAATGAAATATATAATAATTTAAGTGCGGAAGCAAAATAAAATATTAACGTTTATATTCCTTACACAATAACTTAAAAGTATTAAATAAATATTATGGAATGAATTCTCTGAAAGAAACACGAGAAATAAGAAAAGTAATGGAAAATAGAAAGTATTTAGTATCTACTCGCAATGTTCTTGCGATCGGGCTCTGGAACCAGATCCTCTTGATTTGAAATGGTTAAATAAAGGATGAACTATACTAACCCAGTAAGGATATCATACTATATCACTGACACATAAGTAAATATTGGTAGAAAATCAAAACAACTAATGGAGTACTAAATTTAAACCAATACATTTATTAATCATAAAATAATTTACCGTTCACTTACCATTATGAAATTTATGAAAACAACCTATAGAGACAATAATACCATACAGATCATAACTTCATGAACAAACAACAACATAGAACATATCATAAATTTATATTCATTAACAATAAACCAA